GGGGAGAGCGCCCGGCCGCGGCGCGGGCGCGGGGCCGGCCGGGCGCCGCGGCGGTGGCTGCGCGCGCGGGGCGCCGCGGCGGTTGCGGCTGACGGGGCAGACGCTGGCCCGGGCCATGCAGGCAGGCAGGCAGGTGAGGCGGTAGCTGAGTGTGTCGGCGCAAGCGCAGCCGCCCAGCGAGGCCCGGCGGCCGCGGCGGTCAACGCGGCGAGGAGGTCTCCTCGGGCGGGCTCGACGCGGCGCGCTGTGGGTTGTGGCCGGGCCTGCGCGCTATCGCGCCTCGCGCAGCCGCGGGCGCGGGCCGCTACCGGGGAGGGGAGAGGGGGGGGGCAGCGACCTGCCCGCGGCCGCATCCAATCGGAGGACACTAGTTCCCTAAACGTCCGGACTGATGAGGGGTGGAGGTTCGAGACCGCACCGCTGCTGGAGAGTCAGGTTGGTGTTCGGAGGGCAGGTAGCAGAATCCTTGGCAGGCCCGCCTGCCATCACGGCCGGATGTCGTCCGGCCTCCATCCCACTTCCGGTGAAAATGAAAATGCCGCGGCAAATGAACGATAATAAAGTAAATCGTTTGGGGTGGGCCATCGCGTAGGTCATTAATCAGAGTGATTGGTGACCGCCGCCCTCAGCAAGCGGCTGCCTCACCAACGTCTGCTCGGTTCAATCTCACGACCTCCATCCATGTCCGCCAGCAGCAGGAGCCGCAGCACCGAGCCAGCGGCATGGACAACCTCGCGTTCGACTCGACGCAGCTGGAGATGCAGCCGCGCGATGCGCCGGAGAAGGACAAGCAGGAGCAGCAGGAGCAGCCGCAGGAGCAGCAGCGGGCCGGCGGCCCCGAAAAGGTGAGTGGAGGGGAGGTGGGCGGGGATGGGACTCGCGCGGCGGCCGCTCTAGGGTCGAGCTTAATGAGGGGGAAATTAAATAAAAATGGAATTTTTAGGCCGGGGCTTGCGGTGGGGGGCACTGCATAAGTCAGACGCACGGTCCACTGCCTCGGTGGGCTTCGGCTGCGCGGCCGGCGGCCTTCACTCCGCCGCACGCAACGCGACGCCGCTCGCCCGGGAAAATAGGAATTACTCGGCAAACGGGAAAGAAAAATAATGAGCCCCAATCGAACAGCAGACAAGCTGAACAGCAGACAAGCTGGGCAGCAGGAAAGGAGGGGGGTGGGCAGACACCAGGAGAGGGGTAGAGCAATCGCACAGACTCACACCCGCAAAGGGTTGAGCCACCGCACACGCCGGGCCCTAACACCGCCGCGTATCTGTCCGCAGCAGGATCGTCAGCAATGGTCCAACGGCATGGAGTTCCTCATGTCGTGCATCGCCATGTCCGTGGGGCTGGGCAACGTGTGGCGCTTCCCGTTCACCGTGTACGAGAACGGCGGCGGCGCCTTCCTCGTCCCGTACCTGGTGGTGCTGGTGCTCATCGGCAAGCCCCTCTACTACATGGAGATGGCCCTGGGCCAGTTCTCCTCGCTCGGCTCTGTGCAGGTCTGGGAGCTGGCGCCCGTCTTCAAAGGTAAACGCGAAAGAACGCAAACACTCCAACCGTCTAGGTCATTGTCTTGATTCGCTCGCCAGAGCCGGCGGATGCCGGCCGCGGGTGTCCTCGGCGTCTTCGGTGTCCTCAGGCGGCCGCGTCGCGTCACCCTCGGGGCCCGGGCTGTATACCCTGGTAGCACAGACATGTTCGGGAAACGTTCGCACAATGTTCGCAAATTTGGTTCGGTCTTGGTAGCAAGTTCGTTCCCACGAACGTTCGGCAAACGTTTCAGCAACGTTCTCGGAACGAATCCTTCAAATGTTCTCCGGACGTAGAAGAACATTCTGAAAACATTCGAGTATAATGCTCTCTGAACGTGTCTCGAACGAAGCG